AGTTTTTGGTACTCAGTGAAAAAGCGATCGTAGTTGGCGTCCAAGAATTCAGCACACAACGTCTTATGCCGCGTGATCAAATCCTAAAACTTTCGGATATAATGAGCCGTTCAAAACTGTGCAATACAGTATAGCACTATAGCAAGGTGACAACAGTAATTTACCGTCCCATTTAAGTGTGCGGCCGCAAGATACTTTGAAGCTACAAGACGTCAAAAGTTTCATTTTCGCGCTTTCAAGTGTGTTTTCCATTTTCCTTCTGCCGAACCAGTTAAATGTGGAATGGGTGCCGCTTCTTCAAAAGTAAGTCATAAATGGCGAAAGTCTGACCCTTTCATATTTTCTCACGGATTAAAGTTTCGCACGGTTTTGCTGGCGGACATAGTAGAGGCCCGGGTGGGCGTGGCCACAGGGGCAAGGCTTCGAAATGGACCGGTGTTTCCCAAATTTGTGCTGCAATAGATATTAGACGGGAGCATCGTTTACAAGGTAAACGTTCCTATTGTCTTCAAGGTGGGCTTAATGTTGATTTCATGATCACACGTAAGACCTGATAACCACTTTTTCGCCTCTGCCTAATGTATACCTTTGCAAAAAGCATAAATTCCAATCTAAGTTAATTCTTCCTCTCGGAACTTCTTAGTTCAAGTAGTAGAAACACACAGCTGTTTAATAAGAAGGAAATTGTCGTCTTTAAGCTCAGGAAGAAGCGCGGAAACCTAATTATATCCGTCCACGTCAAGCCCTCGCCCTATTTTGGCCACGCCCACCGGGTATCTAAGTACACGCATCCGTGAACCAATTCCTTTATTCTATAAGTATGGTAGCTTTCCTCACAAGACTTTATAGAGCTGTCCGCTTTCCTCACAAGACTTTATAGAGCTGTCCCGTTATGGTGGGCTAACGCCCAACACGCTAATATTCTATGATTAGATTCAAATATGGCGACTACACAGGAAGTTTAATACATGCAGACACTGCCGGAAATCCGGGTTGCCCTCGCAACACGTGAATTCCACGCAAAGGCGCAGAAGGTATGTGACTACTGTACCAGATGAAAGATGAAGGAACAGCTATTTACTGATGGAGGCGACAAAGAATATGAATTTGAAATGTTGTATCTGGCTAGCAGTTTGAATGCTTGACACAACGATGATGTCGCGCCATTCCAGTATACCAGATCCTTTCGTGAAGACTTCCAAAAGATTATACAGACTCAGATATAGGTGAAACACTTCTCGCACTAAGGAAATGCTTAATCTACCCAGGATCTCTTTCGCTTCCTCTGAATTCAAAGACAACGTCCGTGATCGCCTTTCACAAGTTGTAGGGCTTAGAAGCATTGAGTTATGTTGTAAGTACAATGCTGAAGAAAAAAGAAGCAAAAGAACCCGTGGAAAGTGCCCTAAAAGGCTTCATGTACGCGACCGAAAATGAACGAGCTAATCAAACAATGGGTGAGTTCTCTGAATCTAAGCGCCACTCGCTGCGACTCATTCTCTAAGGCATATTCGACAAGATTAGCAATTATCACCGCTAACGAATCGTGGTGATGAAAAAATGATCGAGGTGGAACTTGTTGACTTCGCCTCTATAGGAGGAGCCTACTTGTAGTTGCTGAGCTGTCGTGCTTTCATCAAGAGCTTTTGAGCCGCGAAAAAGGGATATTCGCTGTGTCCACCAGCTGCCCCATCTTGTACTCTAAAGGATCTCTTCACGTTGGTTGATCGTGGACGCTGTCTTTAAAGACAGCCCCCGCGCTAGTACTACACGGTCGTCCTTCCTTATGCAAGTAGTCCTGCCCCCAAGCTAGAGACTGCCCCACTCTCGCGACCCCACAGTGAGCGAGGAGCGAGCTACAGCTGCTGAAAGTTCTAGTTCTAACGCCCGCTCAGTTAGACCGCCCACTTGCTAGATGCCCTCTGTCGGAAAGCGGCTCAGTTTTCTTTGTTGGGACGGCGAGCATTATCGGAATGGCATCTATTTTTTGCTGATCGCGCTCGTGCCCATAAATAATTCTGCCCTCCTTTATTACATTTTATTCATTGGGAGCACATACAGTCAACTACAACCCGTCTCGCAAGGTAAAACGCATAAAAAATCACGAGTGACACAATTTGTGTGGTGCAAAAGCTCGACATGCACTAAAAGCTGCACACTGCACGTAACCCCAAATTCGGATGCCAAGTTTCTGGAATTTTCTTTTTTTGAGTGTTTTTCGATCGTGTTCCTGTTGTTTTTCGTATTCTTTCCTTTGCATTGGATGATATCCACTAATGGAATATGCGATAAAGCGATTTGTGAGCCAGGGATTGCACAGTGACCACAGGGCGGTGTGACTGTCAGGGAGCGATTTCGTTTACGGTGTTCTTGAGGGCTCTTGTTGCTTTTCTCCTTCTCTGAGGAATTATTTATCTGCTACTGTTTCATAATAGGGCAGCAACTATCCTTGACACATCGCATGAGCTGTCTTCGGCCTAAATGCGTGTGAATGATAAGAGCCTCACTCTAACGCTTACTATCATTTACTCGCACCTTCGTAACTAGGTTGTCCGGGAAAGTTCTCAGCGTTTTGGTTTTCACTTAAACCGAATCGTAACTTTTTAATACTCATCGGCATTTTAATCGAAAATAGGCATTATTCGAATCAGCACACTTTTCCAATGTGACAGCAGTAGAGAAATGCTGACTTATAGCCACCCCTGCTGTCGATGTGTCGTGGTCCCTCCGCCCAACATGCCCAGGAATGGAGATACAGTACCGTGAAACACGCTAATTCCTCCATGCTCCGCTCATTGCCTTTTTGCGGCGCAGATTCCCGTCCTTCATAACACCCGTCGTAAGCGCCGGTGTCGCGTGCGGCTCCTTTGCACTTTGCCAAGTCCTTTAATTGCGCTCTCAAATCAAGGAAAACGCAATTTCCTGATGCGCATAAAATTTGAGGTGTTGGCTCATGCTTCAAAATCCAGGTACAAGGAGACGAAGATAACAGAGGCTAGAAATGAAGCACAAGCGATGTAAATGTAAATAAAGCAAAACATGAAAAAAATCAAGGAAAGGCAAATTAGATAAATAGGCCTGTAAATTTCTACGACCCGGCGCCAAAGCCATAGAAATACTTAGAACAAACGAGTGGGACGCTTGGGCTGTTTTTATTCTCATGTTTTGTGGGAATGCGCGCGCTTCTGATGGATACTGGCGGATGCAGCCGAGTTGCTGTTGAGTTCTGGTCGTCGTCATGATCTTCTGTTCTTATTTTGTAGCACCTCCAATGTTATTCGCATCAGGAAATTGCGTTTTACTTGTATTTGAAAAGCGCAATTAAAGGACTTGGCAAAGTGCCAAGAAGCCGCAGCGCGACACGCGCGCTTACGACGGATGTTATGAAGGACGGGAATCTGCGCCGCAAAAAGGTATAAGTGGAGCAATGGAGGGATTAGCGTGTTTCACGGTCCTGTATCTCCATTCTGGACATGTTTGGGCGGGGGACCACGACACATCGACAGCTGGGGGGCTGATCGTCTCATACACCCTCAATGTGTTTGAGCGTACCATGTATCTTTAAGTAAAAATAGTGTTATCCTACCACTGTGAAACACGCATAGAGTACGTACCATATTGCGGAGGGAGGGCGTTGCTGCACTGTTCATTTGAGCAGAGTCAGGAAGCGTATTTTGTAGATTATTTTCACTTGAGACAACAGTTATCTTGTTTTGGGCTGTACAAAGTATGACGACAATTGTAGGAAAACGATAACCCATCAATAGCATAGCGGCCGCCACGCTCGAACGAAATACGGTCCACACATACCCTTTCTCCAGGATACAGTGTGTTCTTTTCACTTAGCCCACAGCTCATTTCGTCAACCAGTGCTCAACGCATACAGTACCACTACCTCGAGAGCTTAAAGTATTTTTTATTCTATAAAGCTGAAGTTTGATGTCGGTTTGTCGGTCTGTAAGGTATGTATGTATGTATGTATGTATGTATGTCCGTCCGCAAAATGCTTCATGGGCCTCGAGTTAGGTGGACGAGAAAACGACCGCTAGACAAACCGGTAACCGACTGGTGCAGATGGATCAATCCAGTGATTTGATTATGATAACAGCATATATAAGGCAACCATTCGGTACACTCCGAGCCATTTCATGAGCTGCTGGCAAGGCAGCTGGATGTGTGCTCGTGCGGGGCATGGTGGGATGGAACCGAGGGGACCCTCCCCTCTGCTTCCTTCCCCTGCGCGTGCTCAGCCGAGCATGAGCACGTGCAGGTGAAGGAAGCAGAGGGAAGGGGGTACGGTGAAGAGGGGGGAGGTGTGGCGCACGCTTGAGTAGGGTAATAGAAGGAGTGGAGAATACAAGCGATAGCAAAACTGCAAGGTAATCCATAATCGAGTAAGTTGAAATGTTCTGATTGTGATAATACCCTCACCCTATACAAGACAACCATTTATACACCCCAAGCCATTGCTCAAGCTGCTCGCGTGGCAGCCGGACGTGAGCTCGCTCATGGGTTGCTCCATCTATCACGATTCGATAAAAAGAGCGAATTATGAGTAGCTAGGTGAATGCACCAACTCCGTTCCCATTAAAAGCTAAGTCAGCCAAAGATAAGGAGGATAGCTCGGTGTCAGCCGGGCGCTCCCACTGGTTATACTATAAGTTGCAACTATGGGCTTCAATTTCAACAGAGCGTAGACTACCAAGCTACGCGCAAACAATCTAGCAGAGCGCTAGCAAGTTGCTCACTGTCTTGGAACCCGACAAAGAACCGAACTGAAAAAAATTATACTCATTCTTAACGTACCTTGAACGTCGCAAAGGCATCTGAAGCGATGTCGAAAGCGGACAACTCGACATATGCGAAAAATTTGTAAAACGATTCATGCTGCAGCAAAATCTGCAACAAAATTTCCTTGAATATCTGGAATTCAATAACTTCAACTAAACCGTAGAAACCTTGGCCAACTGATCATGACGAATACATTCGCGCAGCATGTGGCCACATGTCACAGCAATGTCACCATTTTGATAGCTAAATCACACCATAGCTGCAGTAAACAACAAAGTTACAACTTTTACAAATGGAAAAATTACGAGAGTGGGAAAGAAAATTGGAAAAAACCTACCCATTTACAAGAAGGACTAGCATTTCAGGACGAGCACCTAGGTATTCTACAGTGGGTGAGCGAGTTCCAATCTGTCTACGAAGAAGATTGTTGAAAATTTGCGCGACATCCTAAAAACGCATCGATGAAAAATAGAAAAAAAATCAAGCGGCAAAACCTGATGCTAACCTTTTTACTCTCAAAATCCAATTTGGCCAAATTTTTTATTAGCATCGGTAAGACATTAGCGTTATAGGTCTCCTGAGCGAGCTGTGCAACCTAAACCCAATATATGAACACACAGTAGCTATGTTTGCTATGTATCTCGATTACGGAGTGGGCGTGGCTACAGAGTTTGCTTGAGAATGGCGTAGGATGGGTTTTCTGGGGAATATTTTTGTTTGAAATAAGTGCCACCCTCGTGGTTACAACTGTTCCACAACGATAATATCCGGCCAGAAGTGCAGCCGCCGGCGCGCTCGAAGGAAGTACACAGCCACGCCCAGCCCATCTTGGAGGTGTGGAGTGTACACAATCAAGACTATTTCAATACCTGCTCGCTGTGAGGATCCTGTGTTTCAGACCCGTAAATAATGCTCTTGACCATTTGCAACCATTTGTTCACCTCTTCGACCGCCTTGTCGCCTTTCTTATCGCCTTGAGTCTGGAACGACCACATACTCAAAGCCTTATTATTATTATGATATTAATAAAAGAATATACCAGGCAGTGGCATGTTTTATAAACAGATAATAAAGGATAAAGGGTGAAGTCTTCGCCGTCGATATCTTTTTTTCGGTACGCATTCTACTTCCATTGGGAATCGCAATGGCCTACTGAATGCGATGTGGCCTGCACAATGAGACTAGCGGGGCCAGCCGATGCAAAAGTCAGTGTTCTTATTTTCCGAGACGAATATCATACCAATGTACCGTTCTCGAAGAAAAGAAGGCTTGGTTGGCCTTGGCGGGAGCCGCCGAGACTCGATGTCCGGACCGCGCACTTGATGAGCGTTGTGCTTGCTACTACTCCGCTCCGCCTCACTCGTTACATATATTCCCCTTATTCTCAAATTTTCTTTGTGCAAACAGACACTGCCCCGATAAGGTTCACTCTCGAGCGACGCTTGGTCATGTCTTGTTCTGAAACGACAAAAGCACCTCATGCTGTCTTGATGAACTAAAAAAGTGGCGGATTAAGTTACGTCTTGGCGTATACCGAGCCGTTCTACAGACTATCATGCTCTCGGTGAGAGGGAACAGATGAGCAAACATGACATGAGTTGGCACTCGAGAGGTTGAAAAAGAAATCTGAAATCACAACCAAACAAGCTCGAACAAGATAAGTTGTGGAAGGACCCAGAGAAAATGTGGTCTTCGTGCTGAGATTATGATTTCAGAGGGATTCCAGGGAGGACTTTGTGGACCTTCTTCGGTAAATTTCTTGTTTTCCAACCCAAGCGTGCCTGTCTTCCTAGCTGGATCATAAACGGTCACAAATCAAATCGCAGCCCTGTATCGCAGCCCAAGGGCTGAGGACATTAAACATTATTCCAAAAAGTTAACGAGTTGATAAGGAAAAAAATCATTAACGCATTGTTAAATAGAAAATAGCCAGAAATGACGACTTGGCCTCGGATCGATGACAAAAATTTGGGAAGTGTTCGCAAAGGAATCGAAATATTGTAAAAGGGTGCTGAGAGGTGCGCACTTACCGTAATATACAAAAACTACATCTTCCTGAGAAGGGTTATAGAAAAAGGCTTTCTAGTTGCACTCAATGGCCGACGTGCTCCGCGTGGAAGAAGATGTGTTTGAAAAAAAGAGAAGAAAAACTCCCATGATTTAACGCTGAAACATTGGTCAAGCTGATGTAAGCTGATTGGCCTGAATAGGAAGACTTCCACGAAGAGAAGCAGCTACGGAGAAATTTTTTTCAAAGTGCCCCACCGTCTAGAACAGAATATCCCTCCAAATGAGCCCCTCGTTATCAATGACTTCAAGATGAAAACCAATGTTCAGGCCTATCATAAAAAGACCAAGGTCAACTGCAGAGGTGATGGCGTATTTTGCAATGCCCCGGGCATCCTCAACAGAGACTGTTTGGCAGCAGCCCAGGCCTAAATCCACTTGCTTTTTCCGAGCAAGGCCGTACAGAGCACAAACCGAAGAGTAAAAAAAATCACCTCATGGACACACACTGATATGAGCATATCAGCAAGACCATTTGAAATTGGATACCTGCAACGCGCCCTCGACTTACAAGGGGGAGGGGTCGTTCAGGGCGTGGTGCGCTTTTTGAAAACGGTTTTTTTAATATTGTAGGGGCACACACGAGGACCAGAGCACTGAGGTTCTTTTTTGCTGCGCGCTCATGGGATTAAAAAAACGTAAAAAAATATGTCGATTGTTCGGATCCCCACGGGGACAAAATTTTGCTTTCTAATTTTTTTATTTTTGGGTCCATGCTTGGCTAAATACTTTGTCCTGACAAAAACGTTCACGAAAACCCTAACAGTCCCGTGTTTATGAACCTACTTTTTCCACTCAATTCGTTTGTATTCATGGACCCGACTATTTGGCAGTAGGCGCTGAGTTGGCGCGAGCTGGCACTGGCGCCAAAAAGTGTCAGATTCCTGATCAGGACTACCGATTACTCAGAAGTTTTGAGGCGAAAAATTTATGAATTTTTGGGTTGTGGATGACCATTCGGTCGGCAGTGTGAGAGGTGCCTCACATCTTCGTACCAACGATGACGTATCGATGACGCTACGGACCATAAACAACTGTGCCATTGGTTTGATGCTAACAAGCTCTTTTCATGCACAGCAAGCGGGTAGCCGCTGAATCCGTGGACAAGTATTCTGAACCGTCCTCGATTCCTACCAGCTGATCGTTCAGCAAAGCTCTCTTCCCTCCCCTACCGAGAGAGGAGCAGTTGCACTCTTCCAGCTTTTCAGGCTTTTTCGAGTGCATTTGGGTGACCGTCCTTCTTCTTTCGACGAGCTTCGTCGTTGCTGTTGGTTACATGGTTTTATATTAACCAGTCGGATCGCCCGGCTCACGCCGAGCTCTCCTCCTTCTCTCAGCTGGCTTGGTTTCGTAAGGCGCACTTCATAATGGAAACAATATTTGTTCATTCACTTAGCTGCTCATACTGCGCTATTTTGATTGAATCGTTAGAAGGAACCAACGCGCGAGCTCAGGACCAGCTGCTACGCGAGCTGCTTGGCAATGGCTCGGAGTGTACTAAATGGTTGTCTGATATAGTGAGGGTATCACATTCAAAACAACATCATAGTTTGTTTCTTTATTTGGATTAGCCTGCGGATTTGCTAGCGGTTGTATCCTCCTCTCTTGCTGCGTGCTCCTACTCAAGCGTGCACTTCGCACCCCCTCACCGTTACCCCTACATCCAACTTCTTCTCCCTGATTCCCTACACATGCTCAGGTTGGGTTGAGCACGTGCAGGGGAGGAGGCAGGGGAAGTGGCCACTTGGTACCCCCCCCTTTACCCCACCTGCCCCAGCACGTGCACACGTAAGTGCAACACAAGCAGCGTTCGTGAAATGGGCTCGGTGTCTACACACACGATTGTCTATTTAGCGGTGGCTGTATAATACAAAATATTGGATGAACATTTGCACCACTCGGTTTCCGGTCTGCTAGCGGTCGTATTACTCCTTCCACTCATTTTAACCCGTGACCAATTTGCGGACGGACATACATACATACATACATAAAAACCGACACGCAAAGTTACTCGTTTATAAAGTGAAAGGATAGATGGAAAACTTTGTAACGAGGCAAAGTACGTCTTCAATAGTGAGACTCGTGAGCACAAACCAATACATATACCGAAGCTTAAAACAATTTTTTTGACCGAAAAGTCGTCACAGGGGTAAACAATGGTCCTGATCACGATTATGACACCTATACTTGGCGTCCACGCAATTTTTCGCCAGAATAGCGCTGAACGTCCCTTATATGATTGCATTTAGCGAATTTAGTGAAAGGAAGATGGCTCCAAATTTGCGAGGAGTGCACCACAGCCACTAGTGAGTGCCATATTTGAGATCAGATTAGTGATCAGCCGTTAAGCAACAATCTTGTTTAGTTGTACGGGAAAATCGAAATAGTTGGATAGCACCGACTAATGGGGTATAACTGCAGCTGCAGAAAAAAACATACACGCTTTGAAAGGGCATCTTCATCTGTTCTGAGCTATTTGCTCTCTTGTTGAACACAGTATTATGGTCAGAAGCTAAGAATGTAATGTTATGACGCAACAATATTGAAATTTCGGTTGAGCGGAGGAGTTGTAGGGGAGGGTGGCGCCACTTACGACGTGCGTGGTCTGGAGTTCAAATCGCGGATCGGTTCCCTCCGGAGCCAAACGAATTCTTCTTGTCTACGGGGAATGATAACTAGAAGTAGCCTCGTGTAAGGAGATGAAAAAGTTGTATTCTACCTTGGCACTCCTCCTTCCCCCGCGATAATGCATAATGCACTGCATAGGCCTGTTCACATTCAAAAGCCGCTACAATTCTGAATGGAAGTGAATGCGCGCAGCAACCTCAAAAGTGATTCATAGAAGTGAAAGTTTCCATCTCTGAGGTTCTTGATGCAGTATTGCTTCTCATCGTTCTGCCACCCTCACATTGCTGGGATAATTTTCGGCATATGCTGCAACACCGTCCGCTGTCATGTGATAAGGAACAGTCTCTGAGTGTCCGCTTCTTTCTTACTTCACATTTTTTCAGAACTCTCAAGGAGCCTATGTTCTTCTCAAAGCATTAGAAACTTCAAAAACGGATCTGGAAGCGGCGTGCCTCATCACAGTAACCCTCAAAATTCTGTCTTGGCAACGAGTTTATCAACCTACTCTATTTTTTAGAATAGATTTCCCTCAACGCAGTTCACCAGGCCATCCTATCGTTGCTGCTGCATACCGCTTCGATCGTTGAAGAAACCAGGAGCCGTTCACATGTAAGCTTGCGACCCAAGTTGGACCTTCATTTGCGACGACATTTCACTTCGATTTCAATAGTCCATTTACAAGGACCCATTCCCCCTCCACCCCCTTCAGCAACTGACCAGTTGAAGTGATTTACAGCACATAGAGGCCCAAAATGAAGCAGTTTCCATAGATTACTTTTCACCCTTTTTTGCCTTTCCTGGAAGCGCGCAGCGAAAATCAAGCTCACATTTCAGGTCCTTGCAAGAGCCCCTACAATATGCAAAGAACCGTTTTTGTAAACCGCATCATGCCCTGAACGACAACCCTTGTTAGTCCTCTAGAGTATCAAGTCTCCATTGTCGCAACTAAGCGTAGATACTTTGAAAATCTCTCGTAAAATTCATTACACAAGAACTATTAATAAGTATCAGATAGAAGAATCGTCAAAAGAATGGCACCTATGAAAAAGGAGAAATTTTGTAGACGCTCATATTTTCAAGCACCCTGTGTCTTCCTTTCGGACTCTACCTAAGAATAACTACTGTAAGGTGCATATCGTTGGTCTCTAGCTGCAGCGAGCGCAGCGAAACAGGCTTTGCAACCGGGGTTATTCGCTTCAGGACTCACTCAGTTAAATGTGGTAGTGCAGCGTCAACCTAGGGAACTCTGATGCATTGACCCAGTACAAATGCAAAAAAACCGAAAATGACCTACTGTTAA